CAAAATCGTGCAATTTATGCTGAAATCACTGCTGCAGGGAACCAATCAGATTGCAGGATTTGCTTGTGATTTCAAAATGGATGTAATAAATAAAGAAACTTATTCTCTTGTACTGTATTGTTAGAGATTTACGTACTACGACCCGAGTTCGAGTTCGAGTTCGAGTTTCCGACTGAGTTCGGCTCAGTTACCAGTTTAGTCAAACAAGTTTAGAAATACTATTGATAAAAGAAATTGAAGAAAGTATTATGAGATTTCATAATTGATTTCATAAACTGGCTTATGGAGGTTGTGTCAGGCAGAGTCTAGATGTGATAGTATAAATGAATATTGCGACTTTAAAGAGCAAGGAGAAGACTTTGTTCTGACATATATTCTGAAAATGAGTTGCATCGAAGAGCAAACATCATAAAATGCATATTGGATATTCGCTTTGCCACAGGAAAGCCAAAGAAAAAGCCAAACAGCTATTGACATTTTGCTTCTATCACAGGAAGCCCACAAGGGGTGGGGCAGTTTTTTTTATGACTGCGAAAACTGTAATCAAACCGCCCTTTGGCGAACTCGTGGATACTAGTTGACGTTCTAAAGATTGGGCCTCCTGTGTTCTTATGCTTGTTGACATTCGAATGTTTTAAGGTATTTCGTTCAATTTCATATTTCAAATACTCGATCTTGCTGGTAAGATGATAAGTCGTCCTTTTATTTTCCTTTTAACACCTACTTTGTTTAGTTCTTTGTTATTTTTTCGATGCATCCGCTCGACCCACGAGTCTTTTGAAAACATCTAAATATGTTGACGATTGTACATATTAAGCGTTCCTGTTCACTTCAATACGCATCAGCAAAAAAGGTTTAACTCATTAAGATTTTAGTTCAGGCATTAATTGTATATTTTTACATCAACTTGCATCTATCCTTGATGTATAAATATTCCGAAGAGAAAACTATGTGCGAGTATGCGTATGCTCAGTGGGTCCACAGTGCTAGAAACATCCCACATGTTTCATCAGCACTTCATTTCCTCATATAAATACCCAATGTAATCTATACTACATAAGAGTTTCGTACTTGCCAAGGGTGTCGTGTAACGTTCGTAATCAGATGACGTAAGGCGACAGATCAACGTTTAATTATCGATCTGCTAACATCTTAGTGA